AAACACTTGAACTGGACAAAAAGACAAGCCTTGTTTATACTTGAATAGATATTGAATGCATGATTGCATGAATTTGAACTGAGATCGAGTATAGTCAAACAAAAAAACGTCAACTTATAGAAAATAATTCCACGCAAAAAAAACAAAATTTTGATGTTAGCAATGAGCATTTGGTGCACTTAAGGACGCACAGTGTTATTTCAAAACAATGAGAATATAACAATTGGACGAACAAATCTAGTGCAAACTGTTCCTATATTACTACCGTTACTATATCATAATGTATCAATAACATTAAAAGGAAACGATCGCGCTGAAGTTATGAAATAAAACTGAACTGTTGATTGATGAACAACACGTGAACTTAAATTGAAACCCGTATTGCTAACTTTCACCATAAGAATATGGAAAATTCGGTATAGGTAAAGAATTTCTCGGCGTTTCTTGTGGAAAATGTGAAATTGAGAGATCAAAATGTACCCACCGGAGAATCGAGTAATTCGTAGAGCCATTGAATAGTTTCAATATGCGCAATGATACCGTTCATACCGTCAACGTAAAGCATCACTTGACCTAAGGCTCGCAAAATATAATTCTGATGGTTCTGATCCGCCATACGACCCAACTTGATCATACAATTGAGACCACCGTTTTGTACAAATTCATGCACCAAATCTTTATCATCCTGAATTTGTTTTTCGTCAACAATTCACATTGACAATGGCATTGAAATTTGTGAGTATCGTGATTACTTTTACCACTGTATCAATGTTCTATTATAAACACTGGCATATGCATTACTACTGGAATCATTATTATTGATGGATTGCGATCAAGTCACCTGAAATATTTGTTTCAGCGAAAATAAAGCCCTTCGCTGATCGCGACCACTGGAATTGAGCAATTTATCTGCAAAATTTTTCAAAATATTACTCTTAAATTCTCAACTTCGTTGAAGAATAGATCTCAATACAAGGGCAAATCACTGAAGTGAATTGCTCTTATAATTAGTAAATTTTGAACCATTGTCTATAAGCCTACAGTGCCTATAAGCTGGAAACATTTCTATCGCAGTAGATCAAATCGCCTTGTCACAATTTCTTAAAGCGATACAATTGATATACTCAAATACAAAATCGAGATCACACATTGTTAATCTTATTCGCATGTTTATTCACTATCAAACGTAGATATGAATTCCTTTGCTAAATATTCGTGTGAAAGAATGGTTCATTTTGAAGTTAAATTATGAGTGCTTGAAACTAGAATGTTTCAGTATGCACGCAACTGTCACCAACAATAAGGCATATGAAATTGAGATATGAATTGAGATAAATGCACAACAAATGTAATCGAGATGACTGAGAACTATTGAAATGTTGAATTTGTCAAAACAATCAACTCACCGATAACCGTCTTAACTCGAAGACCCGTTTGTGTTCGAACCACAAGACTATTACGTCGTCTGAAAGCAAATCGATTCAGTGAAATCATCCTTCAGTCATTAATTCTTCTGCTCCATTTTCTGGCTAGTAAAAAGTACTACTCATTCTTGCTTTTTTTTTGCTATCGTAGTTTCGTAGACGGACTTTTTTTGACTTTTATAGATGACAGTTCTAGAAAAAATTAAAAGAAAGTAGAACCGTAATATTACAAATGGTCGGAAAATGAACATAGTGTTAAATGAACAAGGAAAGAAAACATTGGGAAACGGGATTGGAAAGTTTGAAAAAGAAAACTGAACGGAAAAGTTTCGATGGAATGACTCAGCGAGGAAACTATCAGTTAAAAATATCAGCGCAATTTTTTTGAAGATTTATAAACAAAGCCATACGACGGATCAATGGATTTAAACGATAGGTAATGGATAATAAAGAGTTAATTTTTAGAAATGAACAGAAGATAATATTGCAAGTTGAGATTTTTTCAAGAATTGATGAGATATTATGAGATAGTCTAACTTTGCGTTTTCATCAGTAGAATGTTGATCATTTGAAGTGTCGGTATCACTATGATCACTAGGAATGACCAGATATGATGACCATTCTTGGGATTCAGTGGTGACCGCAGGGGACTTGGGCTTGGCTGTAGCCAGCGTGATTGATGAACAGGACGATAAGGATTCAGAGTTATCAACTGAACTCTTACGAGAACTACTATACACAAAACATCCTGAATCAATACTATGCGTTGACTGATCACGATTGTGTTCAACATTTGACGATGGTGCATCAGTTATTTCATCGATATCATGATCCGATTTTAATGAGGCTACTCCTCGCCCAGAGGCACGTAGCTTTAGATTATCTTCTAAATTTGTTTTTGGAGACTTCTTGTGGGATACACCATGAACTCTAGAGACATAAGAGAATTGCGGCGTTTGAACTGCATCATGAGTGGTTTCTTCTTGGATGTCAGTCACTTGAGGTGCCAGACGACAGCTGACATGCGATGGGTTGGAGATGGACCTTGAAATGTTGTTCAGTTGGAGAGTCTGTTCACATGTCGACGAAAATGGTAGCGACGTTGATAATTCCGCTGTAGGTTTGGAAGTTGAACTCAGAATAATTCCAGGACGAACAATTGCACATTTTTTACGAGGAAAATTATCAAGGGTCTTCGGTTTCTTCAAATCATCTTTCCAAAGACTACTGTTTAGGTGCGATGAATTGTGTGTTGCCGTGACATTAGATGCACCAATAAATTCTCCTTCGCTTGTTGACTTCTCAATTTGTTTGGGCACTTCGAACGTATAGCTTCTAGCTGGTTTCGGTGGCGCCCATTCAAGTGATCTCTCAACTGAACGACTTATATCGAGAGGCGACTTCGCGTCCGAATTTTCAGACTGATGCTGTTCGAGGTCATCATCGATATATGGTAATGTGGTGGTTGCATGAGCAAAACTTTGGCTA